ATCATGCCTTAATATTCCACATACAAATCTATACATATGTGCGTTGATAAAAGGATCACACTATCTACGTCTAAAGAGTAGCCTCCTCTGAGGCGGAACTATATAGTTTTTGAAGGGCACAATACAAAACTTCTCTCACTTACACTGTTTTTATACTTTCAAAGCATTTCACAAATATTAATTAGCTCTAAATAAATTCTAATTATTTCTAAGAGTGGCCCTAGCAGATCTATATCATCTGGTGTGAAATCTGACTTCAGTGAAGTCAACAGCAACAGCTCCTCAGACCTCAGCAGAGCTGACATTTCACTCGCCACTGCTAAAATGCTGGGAGTCATGTGTATTAGCTAGCAAGTACCACAAGTGGAGCTGAACTAGTAATAGCAGTAGCAAGAAATGATAGGGTTACGAAATGCCGGTTGAGAATAAAAGAAGGGTCAAATGACCTGAGCCAATCTGCAAATGTGGCAGAAGCTTTGCCAGAGTTTGGGGAACGCAGTAATCGGACTCTCTTTGGTTTCAACATCAGTTGAAATGGAAGGCGCTCACCTGCGGCTAAAACCAGTTCATACTTAGGATACTGGGGTTAACTCCTAACATCTGCTCATGCCATAGGTCACTAACTCAGTTAACACACCACTTCGAAACATCAACTCTTTATAAAGAAATTTGCATTATACATCTATATAAATATTACATATAATGTATATAATAAAACACATACAAAGAGGTTTGCATAAAAAAAACTTAAATTCTAAATAGCAGACAGTGAATAGATAAGCAGGTATGTAGCAGGTAGGTAACCAGTATTTTTTCTTGCTAATCGTGGACAATACAGTCCATCACATACTGCCAACTTATTTTTCTCATGTGAAAAAAATGCCCTGGTTGTAAATAATAATATTAAATATTTTACACACCACGCAATTATATCTAGGTATAGAGGTTAAAACTCAACTGGAACCATAGATTATGAATCTTTTTCTCAAATAAAAATGTAATCCTAATAGGAGTTCCTCCCTTTTTCTCTGCCAACTTTACCACCACACAATATGCCATAGAGAAAAAAGGGGAAGTGTCAACTTGTGTTAATTGTCCCTTATGTAATGCAAACCATCTGTTTAAAAAACAAAATAAAATTAAAAACCAAGCCACTCCCAAGCATGATCTGCTTTGGAGAAAAAGAAAGAAAAGGAAATTTTCTACATCAAATTGGAAGCCAAAGACCATGACCGGCCATGCAACCATGGAGGAAATATTTACCCCTCTCCTCCCTGTATTTACCCAATTTTGCAAAATATTTGGAGAAGTGTAAGTGAATAATTTGCTCTGCATGTATTAGAGATTGATATTGTTGTGTTCTTTTGAGAATTTCACTGTCTAGAATGTTTCCAGTCAGGTAGGGACCGAAGCAGAGAAACCTCTTTGTTTTCAACAACAAACAGAACAGCTCTCACATGGTGATGCCACCACTAGGTGAGAAGGTCCCTGAGTTTGCAGCTGCTGGAACCTGGCAAAGTACAGAGGGATAAAGTATCTGTATACTCTTTCTCTTTTCTTCTACTCTTCTTCAGGGATCTGCCATGAGAGGAATCTAAATGGACCCCTGCTATGAACTGTTATGACTATTCTTGTGTTATCTTCAGTCAAATCCTCAGAAAAGGAATTACATGTAGAGAAAACAGTACTCTTCCCTTCTGCAGTCTCCCTCTGGATAAGTCATTAGTCCCTTGGGAAGCACTAGCTGAGGAACCCTAACACATACACTCTCCGAAACCACTGGGAGACATACATTTGACCCCCTGTTGCTCTAACACGGACAGGGGAACCAGAAAGCATTGAATAAGTTAGTTTAGTTTCGTTATCTGAGGTGAATGAAATAAAAATAGAAGTATAACTAGGTATTCATCATTTTTTCTCCTTCACTGACCTCGAGGCTTGATCACACATTCTCTTCCAGCTGCAGCTGTGCTGGCTGAAGAGGCCACCATCTCCAATCACAGCCCCCTGCCAAAGGTTACCACTGTGACCAAGCTGCTTGTTTAATCACTTCCCAACACGTTTCCACTGAAACGAGCCAGCTCAGTTTAAGCAATTTTAACAGAAGGTCCTTACTGCCCTAGCCTGGACAGAAGCAAGTTAGGGAGCGCTTAATCAAGAAGCTTGGTCAGTATGTCAGGAGTTAGAGGCATAGAGATGAGCCAACTGGAGACCTCTTTAGCTACTTGGCCTGCAGACAGAAAGCAGCAAGTAACCCCTGCATCGGGTGTGACCACCAGCACCACTGACCGGAGATCTGCGGCGCCTTAGATGACATGCTGCAGATTTTAAGAAACTCTTTTGGAGATTCGACTCTTCAAAGGGGCAGGGCACACAACGGTATAAATTCCCCTTTGAAGGTGTCCCCGACTGGATATCCATAATTAAGGTTCTCAGCATCATTAGTTATGGAAATACTGGTTGTCACAATTCTCTCTTCCTTCTTCCCCAAATTTCCAAATCTCCCTTTTACTGAGAAACAGTATGTGGAAATTTTCATAGTTCATTGTTATTTGTGACTGGAACTTAATTGTCCCATGGAAACTTTTATCATTCCTATGTGTGGGTTGTTAAAGCTAGTAAATAACAGAATCATCAATAGAGAATTCCTATCAATCAGCTGTACAAAATAATTCTGAAAATCTAAGGGGCAGGCAGGTTTTTCCAAAAGAACTGGGAAGATGTAGCAGTAAATTCCATTTTCATAAGGTACATAAGCCAAATTTAAAACATACAATGACAGTCAGGTAAAGATGCTGGTAGCAGGGTCTTCAGAAGTTCCTAGAAAGGCCTCACATCCAAAAGCAACCTCGGAGAAAGTTAGGCATGTAACATGCAGAGAAGCTGAGCAAATTACTCTGCTGTACATTCTCCATTGCAGTGCTATACTGGTACCCACTCTAGCTGAGTTCAAGCTAGCATAGGTGACTGCACTGAAGTTTACAGCACAAACACTTCCTAATATCCCTGAGACTTAGATCCTAGTGCCTTTGTCGCTCTTCAACTGAAGATTTAGTCTCCTAAAGCACTCAGGTGCTTTAGAAAATTATCCAAAGCTCTTTGGTTTATAATGTACCACATCTTTGCCAAGAGGACTGATACACAGAAGGGCAAGCAGAAAAGTGGGAGAACTATGTTTTAATGGCCTGTCAAAAACATTACTTGATGTGAACATGTTATAGTTTTAAGGCAGCTACGTTTTTCATTGCTACAAGCTTTCTAGGTGTAGCTAAATCCGTACATGCTTTTTTGTTTACACTAAGCTGTGAGTGAAAAGAAAAAAATCCTTTGGACTACTTATCACTTTTCCTCAGCTTCTCAGTCAAATTCAGTCAAACATGCCAGGGAATCACCAAACACAGAGCTGTCTTTTTCCATTGGCTTCTGCTCAGTCCTAGACCTTGGCATGCTGTTAGTTCCAAGCCTTACTGCCAGGAGCAGCAGCAACTTTGCTCTTTTTTTTTCTGTTTCATTTTCAAGGTTACACAAACATGCAATGTCATATGTACTTCATGGATGTGAGGAACTATAGGACTGTCTTACAGTTAATGTACACCCAGTAAAAAGAAGAGAAAAAACCAACCTCAACTCCTTCTATCCAAACCAGACTTCATTAACATGGAACTAATTTAATCTGCCAGATATATCTAACGGGGTGCTTTCCTGACCTTTTCCAGGCCTACAGTTACGGTAGCATTCACATTCAGTGTGGCTTTCAGTTAAACGTTCTGTAATGTGAATCACTACTTCTCCCATTTGAGAGAGACTGAGTGTGAAATCACTGGAAGAACTGAATGAGCCTATGCTTTGGTACTGCAGCTGCTGAGGGACGTGAAGTGTTTTGAACAGTAATTTTCAGTAGTGGTCCCAGTCTGTAAAATATTAGGAAAAGGGATTAGTGGCCAAAGAAACTCAAGTTTGTGTTCAAGTACTGTATCTACAACGTTACAGAAACTGAAAGAAATCTGAAATTGTGGGCTAAGCCAGTTTAACTAAAGGAATTTTTTCATGTTCTAATTTTATGAAACTGCTGCAGTGGCAAGTGCTGCGTAACTCAAAACAACCGATGAATTCATGAATTAGTCAATGATACAGATGGATATGCTGACACGGACATAATAAAGCTAAACACCTGTGCTAGAGACAGAGATCGGTAGAACAAGCGAGTCCTAGACAACTCAGTAGGAAACTCATGTCAGAAGAGTTAAACAAGCACGAATGCATGAAAATAAGTCTATGAAATTCATGCTTTAGCTAAGCCTATTCATGGAAACGGAGTTCCTAGATTATTCCTTAACTTGTATTTATTATCATCCTGTTGACACGATCATGATATCCTACAGAAGGCTTAAATAAAATTTCCAAAAAAATCTCAGGAGTGTAGAGAACAATACACATCTTTCAAAGACTAAAAAAGTAGATGCTATATTTTTTAGTGTTAGGCTCTCATAAATATAGTCATAGTTTGTGTTAGTCCATCAAACTGAAAGGCATATGCTATCTTTGATCTCTGTGCAGAACCCCCGTTGAGATTAATGTAAGTTCTGTGTGAAGAAAGAGACTAGAATAGGCCCTCAGTTCACAAATAGCAAGCAGGCTGCTTCAGGAAAAAAAAACATATTTTCTTACAACAGTGTTAAAATTTATTGGGAAGTTTCAAATAGCTTCTCTTCAGATGTATGTATGTATGTGTGGTCATGAGCATGTTCACTTGTCAAAAAGATCTGTCAGAAAGAAGGTGCACAAACCTACTTGTGTGAAATGTTTTGCTGTTACATTGAAGCACATACTTCATCTCTGACAATCCCTTCTCATACGATAATGACTAATCCTCTATTTTATACTCATCTGTGCAAGTTAATGGCTTTGCCCATCAGAGTAGAGAGGTGATACTTATATACAGATGGTTGTGAAATTGTGCCCTATACCCACTTCCAGCTAAAAAAATCTACAGGACTTACTGCATCCCGCTTTGTAGCTGAAACCAGGAGGAAGAAGGAATCCTTGCTGTGCAGCTGCTGCTAGGGTTCGTTGGTCTGGAGGGAATAC